ATCATAGTTGCAAACAAATTACCACATTCAGAAATGAGATAGAGTATTGAAAGTAGTTGCTTCTGGGGGCAAAATCACAAGTGTTAAGGGTTGGTAAGAGGATCACTGTTTTGTTATAAGCCTTCTAATACTGTTTGACTTTTTAAGTTATATATTTTTTAAGTTTAATTTTTATTTTTAATCAGTATAAAGTTGAGCTGATAAATGTTTGCTTTAGATGTTAAATGTTATTAGTCCAGTGCCTTCAATATGATGATAGTATAGTTTTCTATTCGTATGTGTATCATTTATTAAATCAGTTTTTGGTGCCTTAGTACTCATATTATTAATATTTGGCTTCCTTGGGTATGATGAAAAAAATCTATTCTAAGAAATGTGAGTCAGTCCTATGTTAGTCTCAATGTAGAACTTAATTTAGTTATTGTCTATAAATAGTTTACAAATCATCTTTACTACCTGAAAATTATAAAAGGGGAATAATAATTCCAGCATATAACTGAGGAGTTGGAGCAATGAAAGTGTATAGCCCTCCAGTTACCCTTCAGAGGCAGGATGGACCAAGAGTTGACCGCCTTCTGTTGTAAGTATTGGGTCTTGTCTCAGGAGCTTTGTAATATCTTGTTAGATTTTATCTGTTTTTCATTTGTTTACTAATAGAATAGTGAAATGCTGATGTTATACAATCAAAGCATTATGTATATAGTTTTGTTTTCTGACAAATATTAATAGCATCAGTGTTAGTAAATGTTATGAACTCAGAACATTTTTCCTAGTCTGCTCTCCTACTTCATTATGTCAAAATTGAAATCACTCTTTTTACCTAACACTATTCATTGTAGGTAAGACTGGATGAACTGTATTTTGAAATTTTGTTATTTGTATTGTACTTGCTTCAAAAAATAAATCTTTGAGTCAACAATAAACTAAATACATGGTTGAAATTATGTAAAAAAGCTATTAATTTCATTGTAGGGCAGTGCTTTGTGTATATATTTACATTTGGGGCTGTTTTAGAGAGAAGTAGATATTTTGGTAGTAGGAGGAACTATGTCTGATACTATTTTTTAAATGCTTTAGTGGCTGTAATATTGGTCATTTGTGCTATAATTGTTTCTGAAAAAAATTATATTGTTTTCTCAAACTTTCGAATTGTTGTAGAATGCATATCCTAACTTAAAAGAAAAATTAAAGTAGTCTGTCAGAATTTTTCCATAGTTTAGAATTAGGACAGTTGTACTTTGAAAAAAAACTTTCAGACTTCAGATTTTATTTAATGACTAAAGAAAACAGTTGTAGAGAGAACTCTAGGAAGAGGAGCCAGGTACATTTTTTTGTGTGTGAATTGGCAGTGGTAATTCAGAGAAAGCAAAATTTATAAATTTGGAAACTCCTTTTAAAAAGATACACAAATGTCTTGTTTTAGAGGTCAAAACATGAAAGTTGGGTTCATAAACCATCCAATTTAGGTGGGAATTATTCATACCACTAAAGATTTGTAAACCAGAAGTTTTCTGCTTGACACTATTTTGGGAAATATGTTTAGATGGACCTCTTTTCAGTGAGCAGGCTAAAAATTAGCTGGAGGTCTTTAACACATTCCTTTCTTACCTTCAAAACAAGAAAATATGGTCAGAGAATCTCCTGCAGCTATATGGATTGCCTGTTTGAGTCATGTATCAATGAACCTGGAAATACTCTCTGGCATTGTGCTTTTTTTCTCACTAGATACTCTATCTTTTATAGACTGAACACCTTAGAATATTATGACGTGGAACAATCTTCTTAAGTCAGTACACCCTAGTTGCAAATGCCATTATTCATTCATTCTTTCAAATCACCTTACCCATACCTGGCCTTCAGCCTATGACTGAAGCTTACTTTTTTTTGTGTTGAAAGCATTGTGTTGCTTAGAGAAAGAGCCATTACTCTGTGGTAAAATAACTAAGAACTTGAGTGAGAAACAAAATGCAGTCATAGAATACTGTGTGGCTTACTTGTCAACAGAATGTATGTACATCATCATATTAATAAGGTAAACCCTGAGTACTGATTTAACCAAAAATCACTATTTTCCCATGACCATACTAGGAGAAGCTTGCGTGTGGTGAGGGAGTTGCAGGTGGTATCTTTCTATTAGAAAGTAGAGACCTAAAGTTAAAACATAAGAAACAGCTAAAAGAGTTTAAGACATAAGAAACAGAGGTGGGAGAGTTGGGGCAGTGAACTGCTGGTTTTTGTTATAAGGTTTAAAAACTATGTACTTGTATTATTCATTTTTGTTTTTTTTTGAGACAGAGTTTCACTCTTGCCCGGGCTAGAGTGCAATGGTGTCAGCCTAGCTCACAGCAACCTCAAACTCCTGGGCTCAAGCGATCCTACTGCCTCAGCCTCCCGAGTAGCTGGGACTACAGGCACGCGCCACCGTGTCTGGCTTATTTTTTCTATTTTCCGTTGTTTTTGGCCAATTTCTTTCTATTTTTAGTAGAGATGGGATCTCGCTCTTGCTCAGGCTGGTCTCGAACTCCTGACCTCAAGCGATCCTCCCTCCTTGGCCTCCCAGAGTGCTAGGATTACAGGCATGGGCCACTGTGCCCGGCCTGTACTTGTATTATTTTGACAAAAATAGAAGTGACACAGAAATGAGAAAAGGACCTAAAAACTTGGATCTCTTCATCGCAGATTTCTTGGTACAGCTACTGTGATCTAAAGTTAAATACCTTTCTTTAGCTTCTGTATTCAAATGTATTCTAATTAGAATAATATGGGCATATCTTTTGCTTTTTGGGCCCCAACAGATTGCTAAGAGTATTATATTTTTTTAAATATTTTTTTCTTGCCCTCCCATCTCGATTGAAAGAGTATTACATTTTAAGTGGGCCTTATTTTTTGACACATGTTGAATGTTTATTATTTAAAACAAGTCCCTGCTGAGTTTATTCATTAGATGTAGTTTACTAAAAAAAAAAAAAAAAAACCTGACTTTTTTCTGTTTATTTTAATCAACATTCTTTTGAATACATCTAATTTCTTCCCCTCATTCCCCACATTGATATTGTTATCCCTCAAAAACTTTGGAGGCTAGTTATTTATCACATAGCATAATGAAGTCAGTGCTATATCCTGAAACTCTGATTTTTTTAATTGGTATTCAGTGTCTTAACTGCTCATCATAAGCACTACCATAGGTTGTTTTCTGTTTTTCTCTTGCAGTCATTGGTAAGTATGGTGATGTGTCCAAAGAGAGGCTGTGTGTTTTTGTGAGAGAAGTACGGTTGATTTACTTGTAAAGTAGGCTTTTTTTCTTTTGTTTTAAAGTCAGCTTAGGAAACACGAGGGGAGAGATTTTTGGAAAGAACTTATTGGTGTGTTGATACTACTACGAGGAACAAAGGCTAGCATACATGTTCTGTCATTTAGCTTTGCCTCTAATCAGAACTCAGTCAGCTCATTGGCCAGTCCAGGAAAGGTCCCATTTTGAAATGTCCAGATATTATTACAGCTCACATTTATTGAGTGTTCTTATGCTCCAGGTGCTTTTTAAACAGCTTTTAGGGTATTACCTCACTTAATCTGCCCACAATGCTATGAAATATATATGTGTTAGATGAAGATAACTTTTGCTAAGGGGGTGGTCAACTGGCACGACTTTTCCTAAAGACAGTTTGGAACTATGTATCAAAAATCAGACTGGGGCACTGTGGCTCACACCTGTAATCCCAGCACTCTGGGAGGCTGGTACAGGAGGATCACTTGAAGCCATGGGTTTGAGACCAGCCTAGGCAACGTAGCAAGACCCTGCCTGTACAAAAAAAATTTTTTTAAGAAATTCATACCTTTTCACCTAGCAAACCTGTGTTAGTATTGATCTTATAGAAACAAATAGAAAAGGGTTCAAAGATGAAGATTAATGTTTATTGCACTATTAGTAATAGTATTAGGATAGCTTATATCCCACTATAGGAGACTGCTTAAACTGTGGATAACCCTAAACAGTAAAATATTATGCACTCATGGAAAATAAAGATGCTGAAATAAGTAACTTGGGATAAAGTTATTATTAATTTCTCTCACAATATTTTAAGTGAGAGAAAGGAAAGCAGATTTCAGAATAGTAGGGAAGTATGATTCCATTTTATTTGGCTTTTAAAGTTTGTATTTTTACACAAGGAAAGGTCTGAAAGTATATATACACACTAAAATGTTAATTATAGTTGCCTCTGAATATGAGATTTCAGTGATTTAAAGTTTATTTCTTCTTATTCAACTGTCCTTTTTTCATTCAGCAAACATTTACTGCGCTGTGGCTAGCCCTTGTATGTTCTGAAGTGATAATGTGTCACTTGTACGGTTAAAATTTGATAGTATATTTTATGAAGGAAATTATAATTTTACAATTTTTTTATTACAGCATATTATGGGGGCACAAATGTTTAGGTTACGTATGTTGCCCTTGCCCCCTCTCCCCGCCTCGAGTCAGAGCTTCAAATGTGTCCGTCCCCCAGATGGTGCGCATCGCACTCATTATGTGTGCATATACCCATCCCCTCCTCCCCCCTCCCACCTGCCCGACGCCCAATAAATGTTATTCCTATATGTGCACTTAGGTGTTGGTCAGTGAAACCAGTTTGCCAGTTTTACAAATTTTTTTATTAAATGATTAAAGTAATGACTCTCATTAAAGTGATATGTTCAGTTATTTGGAAAATTAATTTATTTGCAACACTTTATTCATGAGAAGTACAGAATGAAATGAGGCCTTAGTGTAATGTGCTAAAGCATTTAGCCAATATGATGCTGGTCAGAGGAATTATTTTCATGTGTATGAAACATAAGTCATCTTGAAGGTAGCCTTTATTCACCTGGGAGGAAGATGTTGATTGTGTGCTCTACATTGCTTTTACTGGAATCAGAAATAAAGTTCCCATACATTTACTGTGAAAACAATAGCTTTTTAATGATGAGTGCATGCTTTTAATTTTTTTTTTTTAATTTTATTTCAGACAACTACAAGAACAGCAACGACAGAAGGAGCTGGAGCGGGAAAGACTGGAGAGAGAAAGAATGGAAAGGGAAAGGCTGGAGAGAGAGAGGTTAGAAAGGGAAAGGCTGGAGCGAGAGCGACTGGAGCAAGAGCAGCTGGAGAGAGAGAGACAGGAACGAGAACGTGAACGGCAGGAACGGCAGGAACGGCAGGAACGCCTGGAGCGGGAGAGGCATGAAAGACAAGAACGGGAGAGGCTGGAGAGATTGGAACGGGAGAGGCAAGACAGGGAGCGACAAGAACAGTTAGAAAGGGAACAGTTGGAATGGGAGAGAGAGCGCAGAATATCAAATGCTGGTAAGAAATTTACAGACTGTTCTGTGCTTTTTGTGTCTGAGCTTGGATGATATTTTGTGCAGTCACGTATTAAACTATTTCACATATGAGATGCTTGGGATTAAGCAATTCAGTTCGAAATTATGAAAAATATACAGCAATTGCTACTTTAACGTTTTCTTTTGATTTCTCTCTGTATTGCTTTTATTGCTTAGAGACTTAAAGAAAGCTCTTGGAAATTTTTATTCTGGCATTCTAATTCTTCTAACTCCCTATAAATTGGCCATAAAGTGTAAGTGTGTTTTTATGGGAGATTTTTTATATTGGATGAACTTGTAATGTATTTCCCCTATGAGCCCACTTAAATTGTCTCAAATTTCTTTAGTATTAGAGCACCACTCAGCAAGAAATTTGCTGAAAGTTTTTGAAGGAGGAATTAAAACAATAGGTAAAAAAATATTCTCTCTAAAACTGTATAAATCTATTTTCTAGTGTTGTTAAAAATTACTAAATCTGATGGAGTTTATTTAAAAACTTAAGAATTAAGATACGGCTGGAAGTTTGGGATATTTTAACATTCATTTAAATTAACATTCATTATAGGATATATATTTATTCCTTATGGCTTATATCAAAAGTTTCAGTGTGGGTTGATTAAATATTGGTTGGTTGGTTTATTGTTTAATTTATTTGTTTTTAACTACCTAATTATTTTCTGGAGTTACGGCCAAGAAAACAGAACTTTTTCATAAATAAGCATTGACCAAAATTCTTCACCCTTTGTGGTAAAAATGTCTTACCAATTTTACTAGTTTTGCTATTTGTTGTTTTTTAAAAAAAAAAACTAAATGTAGTCTTCTGTTTATGGTCCTACTCATGTAATTTTCATGTCCTTTTAGTGGACTAAATAATAAAAATTAAGACTATTACTAGCCTTTTCTTGTAAAGGATAAATTAATCGATTTAATTTATTAATCCACTTGTTAGATAAAAAGAAAACTTATTTCATCTGCTTCTAGATCTCAAAATGTATTTACAAGTTAAAATATTTTTGGGTGAAAGTGGTTATTTGCACATGTGCCTAATGCTGTGGTACTAACTGTAGTCTACATTTATACATTGTGTCTGAATGCTGGTTTTGTGGCTTCACTAGCTCCCTTTTTCTCTCTCCTTTTTTATCCTGTCTTTCGCTGCTGCTTTCCACCTTCTGTCCAGCTCCATCTTCAGACAGCTCCCTGTATAACGCTCCACTTCCTGAGTATTCCAGTTGCCAGCCTCCTTCAGCACCTCCTCCATCATATGCTAAAGTCATCTCAGCTCCAGTGTCAGATGCCACTCCTGATTATGCTGTAGTGACTGCTTTGCCACCTACTTCCACACCCCCTACACCACCACTGCGACACTCAGCGACACGTTTTGCAACATCTTTAGGTTCAGCCTTCCACCCTGTTCTTCCCCATTATGCTACAGTTCCTCGTCCTCTGAACAAAAACTCTCGACCTTCTTCTCCTGTGAACACACCCTCTTCTCAGCCTCCAGCTACGAAGCCCTGTGCCTGGTCTACTTCCAATTTTTCGCCCCTCCCTCCATCTCCTCCAATAATGATTAGCAGCCCCCCAGGCAAAGCTACTGGTCCAAGGCCTGTCCTCCCTGTTTGTGTTTCTTCTCCTGTGCCCCAAATGCCTCCATCACCGACAGCACCCAATGGGCTGCTTGACTCTGTAACATATCCAGTGTCTCCACCGCCTACCTCAGGGCCAGCAGCTCTTCCGCCGCCGCCTCCACTGCCTTCCCTCGCATCACTCTCACACTGTGGATCTCAAGCTTCTCCTCCTCCAAGCACCCCTGTTGCCTCAACTCCCTCATCCAAGCCTAGTGTTCTCCCTTCTCCCTCTGCAGCTGCCCCTGCCTCTGTTGAGACTCCTCTAAACTCTGTGCTGGGAGACTCTTCTGCTTCTGAGCCAGGCTTGCAGGCAGCCTCTCAGCCGGCCGAGACTCCAGCCCAACAGGGTAAGGCTTCTGTTATTGCCACTAACAGCTAATCACTTGAAAATATTATATAGAAGCAACTTTAATTGCCTAGAAGAATGGTAGGGTGGTTTTGATAGTTGAATGTCTATATGCAGTAGTGCCATGTATTTTTTAAATTTTTTTAAATTAAAGTAGAAAATAAAGTTGTTTTTTCCTGTTGGATTAATTGCATTTGGAGGATCAAAATGAAGAATTTCCATATTGAGCTAGGTTTTGGAATCTTCTGTGGTATCATTGTTAAATATGTTTAACGGCCCCCATAATACATTTCTTTCACTAGGAAAACTTTTCTTGACCCGTTTGATCTACCGTACAATAAATGTATGATCTAAATAGTATTCCTTTAGTTTCTGGGAGACTTAGAGGTATATTTAGTGCCCAACTGTGGTCATTAAATACATCATCCTAAGGCCAGGTATGGTGGCTCACACCTGTAATCCCAGCACTTTGGGAGGCCAAGGCATGAGGATCGCTGGAGCCCAAGAGTTTGAGACCAGCCTGGGCAACATCGAAAGATCTTGTCTCTTAAAAAAAAAAATTCAGCCAGATATGGTGGCATGTACCTATAGTCCTAGCTACTTGGGAGGCTGAGGCAGGAAGATCACTTGAGCCCAGCAGTTCAAGGATGGAGCAAACTGTGATTGCACCACTGCACTCCAGCCTGGGTGATACAGAGCAAGAACCTTCCTTTAAAAAAAAAAAAAAAGGCCCAGTGCTGTGGCTCACGCCTGTAATCCTAGCACTCTAGGAGGCCAAGGCAGGAGGATTGCTTAAGGTCAGGAGTTTGAGACTAGCCTGAGCAAGAGCTCAGATCCTGTCTCTACCAAAAATAGAAAAAAATTAGCTGAGTGTGGTGGCACGCGCCTGTAGTTCCAGCTGCTCGGGAGGGTAAGGCAAGAGGATTGCTTGAGCCTAGGAGTTTGAGTTTGCAGTGAGCTATGGTGATGGCACTACACTCTACCCAGGACGTCAGAGCAAGACTCTGCTTCCAAAAAAAACAAAACGATAACACCTTCCTAGAATTTCCTTTGAAACAGTTCTGATCTTGGGCCTTTATGTATTGGACTTCCCATGTTGGACTTTCAGGACAGGTGCCACCTTAACCCTGTGGAGCATCCTGATTTTGTAGGAGGGTAGAGAGGATGACAGGCTTTGTATATGTCCTAAAGGGTTTCAGGGTCCAAAATTGCAAGAAACAGTGGGCTGAAGGGATAATTGAAAAAGAACAGCATCCTCTGCAGTTATTCCCCCTCCCCCACCCACCTTGCTGTTATGATAACAGGGAAGGAAGGATGTAATCTCTCCTTTTCTAAGTTGAAAAGGACCTGGTTCTGTACGTAATAAGAAGATGCTTACCAACCCTTGTATTTAAAAATATGATTTAGGGAGGATTGCAGAAAGGAAGCTGAAAACAAATTTGTACTTACAGAAACAGTGATATAGTCTGGATTTAAACCTCCCCTTTAAAAAAAAAAATCTTAGTTCCTAAGATTTATAAGGTTTGTTGTCACTGTGTGTCTATTTTTTTTATTGTTGACTTGTCAAATTTGTTTAAAAGTTGAGTCAAAATTCTAGTATGTGCAATTTAGTATCACTAAGAGTTAATACTGGACAAGAGAGGCAAAGCCAGCCTCACAAGTTAAATGACCTACCTGCTGTATCCTCAGAACTCTCACGGCCTGCAGAAGATGGACAGTCTATTGCTCTGTATGCTTCTTTGAACAATTTATGTTTTCTGCTTGTGCAACTGCTCAAGCTGAAAAAGTTACCAGTTACCACTCAGTGCACATGTAGCATTTTATTTGTCCTAAAACACGCCTTTTAAGCCTTCATGAAGGAAATACCTACTATTTTAGTATTCTGTTATTAAATAAATTCGTGTTCACTCTCTTTGTGTTTTACTCCCTCTTTGTGATTTGAACATTTCCTACCTCCCATCTGGTAGGATAAAACAACTCTGTGAACTTCAAATTTTTTGTTATTTAATTATTTCTGAGAGTTATTTTGAGATTTTACTTTATATTAGTAAATTCCTTTACTTCAGTGATTCTCAACCCTGGCTACACATTGCATTCAAATGGGTAATGTTGTTAAAATACTGAAGCCTGGGACTCACCCCTCTTTCATGTTTTTAATTCAGCCACTTTGACTGTCTATGAACAAAATATATCTTCACTATTGTAGAATTTACTGTCTCAACACTTAACGTTTACATGGATTATTTTGGGTCTGTTATTTCAAATGGTACTAACTGTCATTGTATATACTAGTTTGTCTTTTTTCAGGGATGCTTACCTCTCTCCCAAATTTTATAAGAATTTATTTTATTTACCAAATTTCCATGAAAAAAATTAGATGATCTGTTGCATAGTTCTATCACTAAAGCTCTAACATCACGTAGTTATATGTACTTTGCCTTTATGTTTTAGTGTCTGTGTAAAACTGATTCAGACTTTAAAGGTTATGATAAATTGGACTCATCAATGTGTGGTAAATGCTTGAGTCAATTTAATTTAGCCTGGCCTTCTACATATCTTTCCACTTAAAATAGTATCACTTACCTCTATTGTTGGTGATCTTACTTAACATTTCTTTCTCTTAGGCATTGTCTTGGGACCACCTGCACCTCCACCCCCTCCACCCCTCCCACCGGGTCCCGCCCAGACTTCCGCAGCACTCCCCCC